AATTTAAAATTTCTGTGGAGTGGATTTTTCTTACTTTAAGAAAAATGGATATTTCCAAGTTGGAGAAATTCCACTCCACAGTTTTTTTTTTACAATTTCCCACAAGCATTCCGCTTTTGCTGTTGAATATTTTTATTCACTGGATCAGTTTTTGAGATATTAGCTACGTGGATAAGGTGTTTTAGCGCACATTCTACGCCCAAATTTAAGTCTCAACTTTGCAAGATCACCCCATGTGCATGCACAAAGGCGGTCTGCTGATCAGTAAAGCCCGCAATTCCATGTGAATAAACACGAATAGTCCACGAATAGTGTTTTCTTTTTCGTTGTTGTCGTTAGCAGCATAAGCGGTAAAAGAAGAGTACAACAAATACCCGGAGGTGAGCCTAGCCAAGTACAAAGAACAAAGAAAACCTGAAGAGAAGTATTTTTTTCTTGCTGTTTTTTAGATTGATAGCCGCGTGATCAATCGCAACATCAACATCACAATTTTCGTTTACATTCCAGCACAGCAGTTTAAAGGGATATTTTCCTTTGAAATTGCCTGAAGGATGGATGTTTTCAAAGTTAAAAATAACTGATAATGCAAACAGCTTATATGTTTGTTGTGATTTTTGAAGACTTTAAACCTTGTGCGCTATTTTGTGAACCCTCGGGTGATCGCATGATCCCTTATGCTGAAGTGCCCTGATGTCTCACGGAAATATTACCGTTTTGAGCCACCTCAAGGGTCAGTACTTAAATAGGGTATCAAATTTTTGTTCAGGGCATTAATAGGGTAGCAAAATGGAATTTACTCTTAAATAGGGTAAGGGTTGTCGGAAGTGCCCCCATCCAATTTTTCTGGGAGTACCCCCTCCCCTGTGGGCATAGGGAGGGGGTCTGATGGTTTCAAATTGACTGATACAAATATGTACATCACAGGTACAAGAATTTCAAACAAATTAATTTCCAAAACATATAGCAGTTTACACATAAGCTTAATTGCCATGTGTTGTCTCATTCCAGATAAATTACTCTAAAAAATCTTGTTATGATTAAGCAAAGACAAATAATTCATCTGTGATAAAATTATTCACCTTCTAAGGCAGATATAGCCATCCTGTTTATTAGATCTTGTCTCCTGTGTGTTGGGGGGGAGGGGAGTCAACACTCACGAGAACACTGAAGATAGCTGGTGGGGGGGGCAACACTCACGAAAATACACATATGGTGCCGGGGGGGAGGACATACATGATGATGTTTCATGCA